TTTCGCCACTTATAGAAAAACAAAGTACGGTGATGAGAAGCCACAAACCCAAGACAACGGCTAATTGCAACTTTACGATATTTGGCCACTGGGCCTAAAATTTAGTACTGTCATATCGCCTTACTTAATATCGATAATGATTCCCGAGACTTGTCGGGCTATCACGAATGCCTTAAACATTATATTCAGGTAAGTAAAGGCTCAGGTTCTACCAAAGCATTGATGCGTTAGAGGAGATATACTGATGTTTTAAGTTTCTGCTACCTATGCTATTTAGTTACTTCTTCTTTGTTCATTTCTGTTTGGAACATCATCTTTAATGTGGCGTTCCTTGAGTCTCTATTAAAAAAAAATTATTTTGTTTATCCCGCATATGTAGATTTAGATTAAAAATGTCTATAATTACAATCTATGCCTCCCGTTCTTCTTCAGTTAAACCATATTGCAAAGAGTATATAATCACTGTTTTGTTAACGTCCTTCCGCGAGGGCTGCCAGCAGCGACTGTCAAAAGAAATCGGGCCGATGCACCTACACACACGTGGTACGGAGGGGGCGGGGCCCCGATCTAGGAAGCATCGGCTGCATTTTTGCTCCTGCCAGCCAATTAAGGAGGCGATATCGGCCAACACTTAGGATGGCCCTACATACGACACGATTTGTAGGCAATCTAGGAGGCATCCCCACCACTCCACCCTAGATCGCCACCGATATCATCTCGTATGTAGCCCACTTAAGGCGGCCGCCCATCGCGACGGGCATGAATGAGATAGCGCGCGTAATATTCAAACGTTATGGCATTCATGGCATTTATGACATGACATTCGTGTGTACTCAAAAAAAATATTGTGGGGTTTTTTAACCAATTATTTCCCTGTTTTTATTTATTGCGTGCACACCCTCTCTTATGTTCAACATCTCCCATCTCAGAATCGGATTGTCTAGTAAAATACTAAATCCTCACCCATGGTTTGCAACAACCTGAAATAGGGTAAGCACTCCCAACAGCTTGCTCGTCACTTTAGCCTCTACACGTCCCAGCAGTCGCGCGCTTAACAGGGACACTGCGCATTCACTGTGGACGCACACTACGAGTCCGTCTCGGTAGGTACCATCCTGTTACCATTTATGCCGCCAAATAGCAACGCTTGCACTTATATAGGGTCCGCCATCTAACTTTTTTTTTCAACTAGTGCTTATTTCGTGAATGGCAACACTTAGCTCATGTCTAATTTGACAGATAATTAGTTTTATCCCTCCGCTGAACGAATATGGTTGTGTATGCGCTTGAACAACGCTGGGAAATATTGCGACATTACTTTGAAAATCATGGTAATGTTGCAGAATGTGTGCGAAAATTGCGTACGGATTTTGGAAGAAATGAAGCACCGTCAGCTCCGTATGTTCGTTACCTTGTGAAAAAAGTGAAAGAAACTGGCATCCTCATCGATAAACCAACGCGTGAAAAGCCAAAAACAGTGCGTACATCCGAGAATATTGCTGCTGTGGCCCGAAAGTGTGCGTGAAACGCCATCAACATCAGTTCACCGTCGTTCTCAACAATTGGACATTTCGGAGACATCATTGAGACGAATTTTGCGTAAAGACCTTGGTATGACGCCGTACAAAATCCAATTGGTTCAGGAGTTGAAGCCAACTGACCATCCAATGCGTTTTCGCTTCGCTAAGTGGGCCTGCGATCGACTTGCAGAAGATGCGGATTTTGCCAAAAAAATCATCTTTTCAGATGAAGCTCATTTCGAACTTGGCGGGTATGTAAACAAGCAGAATTGTCGCATTTGGGGCACAGAAAACCCGCACGCATTCATCGAAAAGCCGGTGCACCCAAAACGAGTCACTGTTTGGTGCGGATTTTGGTCCAGAGGCATAATTGGGCCATTTTTCTTCGAAAATGAGCAAGGTGTGGCCGTTACAGTCAATGGCGATCGTTATCGGGCCATGTTGAACGAATTTTTGTTCACAGAAATTGAAGAGAAGTATATTGGCAACATTTGGTTTCAACAGGACGGCGCAACGTGCCACACAGCCGACGCTACACTTGATGTTTTGCGCCCTGTTTTTGAAAATCGCATTATCAGCCGCAGAGCTGATGTCGTTTGGCCACCTCGGAGCTGCGATTTGACACCGTTGGACTATTATTTGTGGGGTGCCGTCAAAGATAAGTGTTACGCCGACAAGCCAGAGACAATTGACGCTTTAAAGGACAATATTCGTGAAGCCATTGGTGAAATACAGCTGCACACAATCGATAATGTACTCAAAAATTGGACCGATCTTGTAGGCTACTACTGCATGGCCAGCCGAGGCAGCCATTTGAATGAAATTATTTTCCATCATTAAGCGGAAGGATTGTACTTTCAAATAAAAAAAGAAATTTGAAAAAAATATTTAGTAGTTTCTTTTAATAGCATTTAAAAAAAAAGTTATTTGGCGGACCCGCTACATAATTCTGGTCTGACGTATACTGGGTTATTTTTTAAGTGTACATAAAAAATTTAATATTTAAGTCAAATATATAAAAAACAAATATGCCGTTTTTGGAGTTTTTGAAAATACGAGTAAATAAGGCTTCTACTTTTGTGATTTATGAACAACAACTACAACGTACGCGCGCTCTTGTGTTCAATTCAGTTCACAAAGTTCTTGCTACTATTTACTTTCTTAATGACACGTTAGGTACCAATGCTTAAGTTGATAACTATCCGACGCGAATTTTCAAACAAATTCTCGGTATAAGCGTGTCACATACTACACAGATACGATATCTGTATCTGAGCGCTAATATCTGTTCATACAAATATATCTGCAGATACAATATATCAGAATCGTAGTCTGACGAGCTGTCTAGCAAATCTAGAAGCAATCAAAAAATAAAATGAAATCGTCACAATAAATAAAATTAAAAAAATATTTTTGCAATCAACGACGTAACCGATGACTGTCATTATAATGGCGTATTTAATTGTAATGAAGTATTTATAACTATTTTTTATTATTTCATTTGTACCTCAAAATAAAAACCGTTTCTCTCTATGCATAGACGAGCATGTAAGTATTTTTTACACTTAATAACAGTGTTTGAGCATGGACTGCATTGAGATTACAGTGCAGATTTCGGATGTTCGTGAGGTGCACTTTGATGGAGAGAGAGTGCAACCGCTGTAAAGATTTACTTTCCTTTTATTCATTATTGGTGAAGTGAACATGTTGAGAGGCAGCAGTTGGACGAGGCGTCACACATATAACTTAGTGACGCAAACAAAGAGACAGAATCGATGATACCTAGCTTAAAGCCCCCCGAGAGGACGACCCCTGGAAATCGCCACCAGGCCTAGGCTCAGATCAACCCTCGGCCGAGCCTCTCACTAGTAGAGGCTAGAGGATAGAGAACCAACCTACTACCACAGTGTAACTTAACCTTTTTTTCGTTAAAGAATTCGCGGTTCGAATATTTTCGAAGGGCTCGGATGCGCGACAAAGTACCTAAATTTGTAACCGAGCGACACTTCCGAAGGTGTCAATGACCCTTACGAATGTTTAATTGACAATCAGTTAACTAACATACTTCCATTCTGAATTTAAAAGACAAAGAGAACAGAATATTTGAAATTTTATATTCTTTTTTTCATTGGTCTATATTACCTGTTCTGAACTACCTGTGCAAATTTAGGTATAGTGTGCAAAATAATCCTGTATAGAGGGAGTATAAATTGAAACTTTTTGGCATTTCATGTTAATCCTCATTCTCAGAGGTGACAACGCATCTGTGGCCATTCTTTTTAAAGTTGATTTCAAGTGTCCATAGATTGCAGTAGGAATTACTGCCAGATGAATTGTAAGTTTATTTGTTGCTATAATTTTTTAAGCTATTGCATAAAAGGTATCTTTCATTTCAATTTCTACAATAATACTTAGCCTTTTACACGGATAATAGCACAAATCTAGTAAGCAATATCTAACTTTTGCAGGGACACGCACAACAGTCATTTTATTCAGTTAGAATTATATACTTTGACATAAATAAAACCCACACCCTCACTCTTCCAACTGAATGTTTCAGTATAAAGGCACTGTCAGCACAGATACACCACCAGAGTTACAATTACCAATGTATTTATTTACAGGACTAAGCGGTACATAATATTGCACATAATAAATTATGTTTTAAATGATTAGATAATAATAAAATGTTAAAAGAAGATAATAATTGCCTATTTATAATAATTTTTGGTTTATTTCGGACTAAGTTAAAAATTAAATATTTAATAAAATAATATTTGAAAGGGTTCAAAGTAACATACGAATTAAAATAATTATCAAGATAAAATGCTATGATAATTATCCTAAAAATACTGTTGTAATCAATCAAAGAAAATTATAAGATAAATACCTTCTTTTACATCTCATCCTGGTTTTACATTTTAGTCATAATTGTCTGCATTGATTCGTAAAATACAGTGATGTCATATTTCCTACACAAAACAAATATTATGACAGGAAAAGACATTATCTTGAAAAGTTTAGAACCCTGATAGTAAGTAGTAGGTAGAAGTACATTTATCAATATAAAATGTCACTTCATTATTTCTCTTTAAAATATTTTTATTGGAATAATCCAGAGATTGCCATTAACTAAGGTGAGAAGATTTATCATATATGATATATGGTAAATCTTGACCATTAATTGATTTGATTCGTATGCATAAAACACTTATTTTTGTTCGTATATTTCAGTAAAAAATTAATGCATAAAAGAAACTTGAGCAAGATTTATTTAAAAAAAGAACTATAGTGTAATGTGATCTAATAGGGGCTAATATAGTCAATTCAAAGAAGGTAACAATTTGTAAACTTATAAGGAGGAAAGTTTTATATACTAGCAAATTAAAACCTATAAATATAGTGTATAAGAAAAGGTAGTTTTGCACTGCTTTGGATTTTTCTGAGTTCACATTAATTACTCCTCCTTTTGGCAGCATTTCAGGGTACAGCTATATGCCTGAAAATTAAATACAGTTTTTATGTAGACATCATAAACACAGGTACCTTCTATTGAGTGTTGCCATGTAACCAGTTTTAATTTATTTATGACTGGTGTATGTATTATTGACAACCCGACTATAGAGTCGATAATCAAATATTTTACTCATCTATGCAATACTCGTAAAGTTCGAATCAACTAGATCCCAAAAAGGTACCTATATGTGATATTCATCATCATCATTATTAGAGCCTATCAATGTCCACTTCTAGCCTAGACCCCTCCTCCCCTCCCCTTCCTATAGCTTAATTCATAGGATATTTGCCATAGTTGCTACGCTTGACAGACAGGTTAACAACCAGTTTTTTTAATATGCCTATACTCCATTTACAATAGCATTAGCATATGTTTAATAAATACTAATAGTGAGTGAGAAAACCAAGATTTTAACCAACGGACTACTCAGAACATTAAAATAGCAAATGAAAAAATTGAATATGTAAAGGAATATGTATATTTAGGACAGATAGTGTCATTCGTAAACAATACATAAAAAGATATAGAAAGAAGGATGACTCTAGCCTGGAAGAAATATTGGCGATTGAGAGAAATAATGAAAAATAAAGATATTAGTATAAAATTAAAGAAAAAACTCTACAAAGTAGCGATATTGCCATGCCTGACATATGGCTGCCAGACATGGTCACTGAGAAAAGAATACGAAGAATAAATTGCTACATGTCAACGTAAAATGGAAAGAAGCATGCTTGGTCTAAAAATATCAGATAAGGTTAACAACGTCCACATCAGGAAAAAAGCAAAAATAATAGATGTAAGAAAAAGAACAAGACTACTGAAGGGGCACTGGGCAGGACACATCTGTAGAATGAATGATAACAGATGGACCAAACGTTTAACAGAATGGATACCAAGAGACAGAAAAAGAAAAAAAGGGAGACCTAGTAAAAGATGGAGAGATATTTTTAATCAGAGTAGTGGACCCCTATGGATGCGAGTGGCTCGGGAAAGAGATGTGTGGAAAGGTTTAGGAGAGGCCTACGCCGCAGAGGCGACGACTACTAACATTAACTAAGCCATATATATACATACATAATTATACGTAAAAAATATACATATTAACTATTCTATAGTATTATTACCTAGATTAATCGTAAGTCAAGTTTGTATTATAGTAGAAATAAAGACTATTTTATTTATTTATTTATTTTAATAGTGAGTCAACTCCTTTGTTATACCGCAATATTATAATAATAATTATTATTATAACATTATATTTTATCTGTATTTGTCGTAGTAATTTATTTTTCTATACAAAGATACAAACTGAACTAGTTACAAAACTAGGTGCGTCCCGCAACTTCACACGATTCGTAATGATGGCAAAAAAGCAACCCTCTGTCATTCTTGCTACCTGCGTGAAATAATTACCTACAATCGCGAGGTACCCAGGGTAACATACGTAGTCGGGGTTAGCGTGTTGTAGGCGAATGAATGTTAAAGTTTTTTAACGCTGTTTACGTAAATAGTTTTTTTTAAATGCTTGTGGAAATAGTGTTTAGTGTACTTAATTTTAGGATAAAATAGTTGAAAAAGTTTTAATATAATTTAAAAATTATATATATTATTCATATTACTTATTTAATAAATACATATTTTAATAATACCTAAACTGCAGTGGCAAGACTTTAAGGTGCAATAAGATCGTACTGCGTAGATCCGACGAAAAATTAATAATTTTAAATTGCAGGTAGCTGTGGTTAATAATGTCCTCCAGACCGAATTTCGGCCTCGGCGGCCTGCCTCAATGGAGGTTAGCCATCGGCGCAGGACAGGATTATAGTGCCAAAGTGTATGCGCAAGCACAGGTGCACTCTCTATTCCATCACTCCGGGTTCCTGACTCCGGGCAGTTATTGAGAATTTCTTGACGGAAAAACTCAATAATTAATTTTTTCGCCTGACCCGGGATTCGAACCCAGGACCTCATGATCAGTAGTCGAAAAAATGTATATAATAGTGTATGTAAATAGTTGATTTTTGTATATACAATCAATAAATTTTTAAATACGCCTTTAATCGATTTGTAATTTACATTAAGGTTAAAATAACATTGACATCAATTATAGAAAGTCGAAAAGTATGAAAGAGTGTTCATTCGTTTTTTTACTGCTTTATTTTATTTTAGTATAAAACGCAACTCATTACGAAATAATGTTCTTATATAGCACGCGATCTATCCAACTAACGACGTGTAATGTAAAACGTACTAAGGGATATAGCGTGCTGCAAAACTTAACGCACTTGCGGGCCTCCTACACGCTTTCTTAACCTTTTGAGCGCCACGCCAAAAACACATTACCGTGTACTGTACGCCAAAGCGAAAATTGAACAAAAATACCTACGAAAAAAATAGTGTTGCTAAGAGTTGATATATCGATAACACAAAATAACTTGGTTTTGTTGGTTTTTTATGCAATGAATGACTCTTTATAATCTGGTATGTTTTATTTAATATTATGTTGTCTTCCACTCTTTTTATATAATGTACTTTGTACGTAAATAAAAACAAACAATAACAATAAAATAATAGTAATCCACAACACTACTCTTCATCGTGATGACGTCACTGTCACGACTGGACGACAACGGCGTAGCTAACCCTCCTTTTTGAAACTTTCTTATGCCGGCTGTACACGCTCGTCGAGACACCACGAGACCGGCCTAGAGGTGAGCGTTATTTAACATAATCGGTTTCAGAAACTGCTTACGAGCCTGATAATCGTATATCCAGTTTCGTGATCAAAAATGTAACGATTATTTTACGTATGCAGTTGACACACACAATGACCGGCGCTCGCGTAAGCGTTTCGTTTTGAACAGATTAATATTAAGATGAATATAGGTACGTAACACGATATACGACTCGCACATCGAGAGTAAAGAGTCCCTTCGGGATAGGTAATGGCTTAAACGCAAGATGTGGATCATAAAAATTATGTGATGTGATGGACAATAATACTTAGATACTTACATATTTTGTGACTATAAAATTGTACAAAAGTACTAATATTCGACGATGTCGCGCGCGTATTATAATACCTATAAACTTATATATATCGTAATCATATCATAACACAGATAAACTAATGTTATAATACCTATAACCTGTTAATATTTAAAACTAACCAGGCCAGGCGTCCGGATAAAGCCGGACACAGTCAAGCTTTTTGTTTGCGTGTCCGGACAAATTAAAAGATGTCCGGGCCTGTCCGGCATTTGTCAGTCTTTTTATATTTGACCATTTTTTACATTTTTCATGTACTTAAATACATACTATTGCAATTATTGAAACTATTATTGTAATGAATTTTGAATGATTAATAATAAAGTACACTGATTCTTTTAATTTAAGATTTTATGATAAATGATAATAATAATTGTTTTATTTTAAAAAATATATTATCGTGTTATACTAAGACTGAATAATTAAGGGTGTCCGGCCTTTTTACCAAAAAAGTCCGGCTAAGCTGGATGGTCTGTGCGGCTTTTCGGTTTAAAGACCTGGTAACCCTAGATGTGTGTAGCTCATGGGGGCTGAACACGCTCGTCTCGTCACCTTGTGTGCCTCTCCTCACGTAAAGGCTCGACACGAGAACACACCATGTACACACTCGTTGTATCATTTGAAGTTTGAACTCCATATGCCCGCTGAGATGGACCTAGATTAAACTATTGCTGCGTTTTGCCTTTGAGTTATTGTAATTTTTTACACATTTATTAAAAATAAAATTAATAACCCATTGCTAAGAGGGAGATGATGTATAGTTTCTAATAATTTACCGTAACAGTACCATATACGGTGAATAGAATAGTGTATAGCTTGCGGCTTGCGCCACGAAAGATGAACAGTGCGGTGCGGTATGAAGTACGGGGAAGCGAAACCATAGCAACGGGCGACGCGCTAGCCTCACGTAGTGTCTCCCTGCGTCCAGTCGCCCGCGCACATACTTGTGTCGTCTTGCGTACTATCGATATCGAAAGTGTTAGAGACTACCTGTTATAACTATATGTTAAATAAAGTAAAAAATTATGCAATAAACCTGGCACTAAAGACTTAAATATTGATATCGGCATTAAGAATATGAAATATTTTATGAGATTTGTAAATATTAGCAGGATCTATTGAAAGATGACTGTAATCATGTAAGGAAAAAGAGAGGTTCAACTAGTCCCGGAAAAAACACATGTTTCTTCGTAAATTTAAGTACATATATATTTTAAATGAAAGTAAAGAAACAATAACATTATTAAACACTGTATTTAATAAACTTTCTAACAGTGTATTACACTTCTTTATACATTATCATCAAAAAAAAGTTATTAACAATAAAATCACGTATGTCGAGACAAAACAGAAATTACAAATGCAAAATATTTTACTTCTTTAACTAAGTGTACACAAAATACAGAATATTATTTAGCAGCAATTAAAACCTAAAGATTATATATAAGTGCGTTTTCGTGGAGACTTTGATGTGTAGTTATAATGTCGTCGTTTGACTTTTTACATATTAAAATGTCATAATACTGTTGCATGAATAAGTCAACTAGCGCCATCTAGTATCAGGAACGAAAGCGAGGGGGCATTGAGAATATGACATCACAAATCACTCAACCGACAGCGCCTACTCGAATCTCGAACGCTCGGTACCTTGCGCGTGTTTACTTGAACATTCTGGATATTTCTTTGCTAATTTAAATAAGTAGGCGCTGCAAGATGCGATCGAAGTTGAGTTGAACTCGGCGACACAAGCGAAGCTTCGGAGCGGAATTAAGTGAATTAGTGTGTTTAATTATTAGTGTTTTTAGTTTTAATTTGTGTAAAGTAAATTAAAGTGTTAATTTAGGTAATTTTATCGGCAATTTTTATTGTCACGAACCTCAAGCTCGTAACAATTGGTGTCAGAAGTGGGATAAAATCATGCCGATTTTACCTAA